TTTGTTTAAATCTCAGTAATAGGCATAATTCGAGATTTAAGGTTTGTTTCTTTCACATTTGTTTGTTTCTTTTGTTGTATTTATATTTTATTTCTCTGGGCAGTTTGCAAAAGAAAAAGTATCAGCGTTTTTTTTTTAGATGCCACAATGACTTTGCATAATTATATTTTTAAAGTGAGAAATCAGAGATGTGTTGGAAGTTGTTTGGGGAAACCTTGATGGTTTTAGAAGGAAAACATTCCAGCATTTGTAATATCCTATTCCGTACGCATCAAGGTGAGTTTGAATGAAAAGTGCTCTGCTGCCATCTTCTGGGAGCTTGTGTTCAAAAGAGCCCAAAGTGTTGGCAGTTGGATGAGAAAGTGTTTCTCCATCTTCTCCTCCAGCTTCAAAACAGAGGCACTCTCAGGCACAGAATGAATGAAAACCGGCATGCATCACTTACTGTTTTTTCCTGACCAGATGAAAGCATGTTCCTGATGTGTTTTCCCCACAGGGTAGCTTTAGAACTGCCATGTGTTGGCTACTGCAAGCTGTTATTTCCTTGCCATCTTTTTTTTAATGTAAATCTTAACAAATGCTACAATCCCACCTGCCTACATGTGAATTTAATCCCAGCTGATCGATAGATGAGCAAAATCACAAAGCATGCAGGCTCTTTGCCGCTGCAGGAACAAATATTCTTCTGTCCTTTTCTTCCCAGACGTGCTTTTCTGTCACATTGGAAGGTCAGTTTTGTTGAAATCATCCATGAAGCTGATCACAGGCCACTGAGGCTTCCCTTCATTTTCAACACAAATGTCCTGTGACTTTATATACACAGGACCTCATTGTACTTGTGTTGCTTCTTCCCTCTGGCAATAACGTGAATAGGGCTAGTATGTATCACTCACAATGAAAAGTGTCCTCTCAGGTTGTCAAACATAACACCCCACGATTTAATGTTAGAGTGGGAGGTCTTGGGCTCTCCAGAGGTGGTGGTGGTTATTTTTAATTGAATTTATATACTGTCCTATACCTGGAGGTACAACTCCCATCGTCCCCAGCAGGGGCCAAAAGCCCTCCATCCCTGCTTTAATGTTTCATCTCTCCTCTTTGTGCAAGAGGAAGTTTCCATTGTGCAAGAAAAAAAACCTGGCATTGACAGAACCTTCACTTAGCAGCGCATTGTATTCCAACCTTCCCCCTGCACGCCCCCATCCCGTTTTACTGAATATCCTGTCTCTCTGGCCCTTTCACATCCCGCAAGCTGCCTGAGAGTTAAGAATGAAATGAAGCCACAAATAAAATAATGATAATTATTTTATCAGTTCCCAGGGTATCGTCTCGTAGTAAACCGAGCTTCAGTTAATAAGCAGGCAATCTTCAGAAGCACTGAGCTGCTGCACTTTCAAAGCTAATTTAACTACTCCATTAAAAATGAAAACACATTCAATTTAAAACACCCATAAGATATGAAAAGAGGCAGGGAGATGGGAGAAGATGAGTAGAAACACACACACACACACACACACACACACACACCTCTCTTCCTGGAGAAGACATGAAGCACATCAGTAATTCTCCATCAAAATGCAGTTCCTCTAACTGACCATGGCACTTAAAAAATGAAATAGAAATGTCAGTATCAAATAGAAACACAAAAGAGAGGATGACCTTTGATCAGGTGTCTGCCTGTACCTTTGACAGGGAGATTTGCATCCAGAGATTTGCAGTTTATGCCGGACAATGACAAGGAAAGTTAAAGGAAGGATGAGGTTGGCTCTTTTTAAATAGCCTGGCAGATGAAAGCCATGTTCCTGAGGCTCATTTTCAAGCTGTTGAGATTTCTTTGGGGAAGGGCTTTTCTCATGCCCTGGAACTGTTTTTCAGTCACCTGTTTTGCCCAACTATCTCCAAGCCAAAGCTTCCATGGAAGAGATTTGGGGAGGGGGTAGGAGTGGGGTTGGAATTGGAATTGGTTGCCAGTGCACCAAATTATCTGGTCTGCAATCTGCAGAAAACCACCACAGGGCCCTTTTCAAAACATATTGAGATACTGTTGATACTTGGGCACAAATAGACGAGTACAAAATCCATGCCCCTAAAGCCAGTTGTGAAGGGGGCAAACCTGCTTAGGTTGCTGGTTTCCTTGCCAAAATGCAAGAAAGTTATGAAATGGAGCCTTGTCAGACCCAAGAAGGGCACATACACACATTCCATGATGTCAGAGCGGCTCAACCAATAGCTCGAGGGGACAATCTTGGTAAGAGGAAAAGTTTGCTGTTAAGCTATGTAACTGAAATTGTGCCTTTGCAGCGTACAAGCCAACTCAATCAGACGTACTTGAGGACAAAGCTGAAACACATTGTGTTGCTACAGTCCCTGACCAATGAACGCTTCACACACAAGTATCTTAATCCCCAGAAGCCTAGCAACTCAGGTTTTAAGGCTTGTGTACTAGAGGCTGTACACAAACCAGTCATTCACTATTGTTTGCTAAGTCCTGTGACCATAAGAATTTGGCCCTTTTTTAAAATAATAAAAAAAGCTAAAATACCAGGAGCAGGAAATTGGGTGGGATAAAAACTGCTTGGATTTATTCCAGCTTCCATTCAAACAATGACATGCAGGATAACAAAACGAAGTGATTCGGAACGTGACATCAAGCAAAATGTAGGGCAAACAGCAAGCGTTTTGTCTCCGCAGATAAATGGAGTTCTAGGGAGCAGGTTTCAGCCTGGTGTGCGTTAGAGGACACCATCTGCAGCCTTCAATGTCAGAAGCATTAGGGGTTAGTGGCAATTGTGTCAAGCATAAACATTTTACCAAAGCTCCAGAACCGAATATATTATGCAGGTGTTAATAGTAGAATAGACTGCCTGCCAATCTCATAAATATCCAGATGTTCACATAACTCGGCCACATGTGCAGTAGCTTAAGCCCAAGGCACTGGAAATTCAAGCATGATCTAATGCAAAATCCACGTCAGTGATATTTGGTTCAAAACGGGAAGCAATATTCCTTAAACAATGCTCGTGTTTGGGTTTTCAATGATAGAAAGATAGTGAAGGTGAGAGGGTGCCCTCTTGTGCTCCAAATATGGCAGAAAAGCTGATGGGGGATGTCTATTCCAGAGAAGAACAATGCAGGAAATGGGGTTGGGTTGTCTCATACTCGGAGGAAAAGCTCTAAGGTGAACAGTGATTGCAGGATCCAGCCAAGACAGACATTTTTATGTCCCGATAATACCGCAGTGCCCTCATGCAGATCTATAGTGCAGCCATACTTGGAGTACTGTGTACATTTCTGGTGGATGCCTCTCAAAAAGGATATTGTAGAACTAGAAACTATGGAGAGAAAGGCAAATAAAATGACCAAGGCGCTGGAGCAACTCCCATATGAGGAAAAGATTTAAATTTAGACTGTACTCCATAGCATTGCTGTGTGTATGAACGAGTAAACTATTGTAAGGACAGCTGTATAAGTTAAGTATAAAAAAAAAAATGTGGCTAGCAGATACCTTTGCATCCAGAGATTTGCAGTTTATGCCGGACAATGACAAGGAAAGTTAAAGGAAGGATGAGGTTGGCTCTTTTTAAATAGCCTGGCAGATGAAAGCCATGTTCCTGAGGTTCATTTTCAAGTGAGGCTCATTTTCAAGTGATTTACCAGACCTAATCCCACAACAGATCCTTCTGGAAAGCCAGTCTGGTATAAGGTAAAGGTAAAGGGACCCCTGACCATTAGGTCCAGTCATGACCAACTCTGGGGTTGCGGCGCTCATCTCGCTTTCTTGGCCTAGGGAGCCGGCGTACAGCTTCTGGGTCATGTGGCCAGCATGACTAAGCCGCTTCTGGCGAACCAGAGCAGCGCACGGAAACGCCATTTACCTTCCCACCGGAGCCGTACCTATTTATCTACTTGCACTTTTCGTGTGCTTTCGAACTGCTAGGTTGGCAGGAGCAGGGACCGAGCAACGGGAGCTCACCCCATTGCGGGGATTCGAACCGCTGACCTTCTGATCGGCAAGTCCTATGCTCTGTGGTTTAACCCACAGCGCCACCCGTGTCTGGTACAGTGAACAGTGAATCAAAGAGGGATCAAATCCCTACTCTGCATGAAGCTCACTAGCTGACCTTGAGCCAGGTCCCACCTCTCAACTTTAAGCTACAAGGCAGGATAGTCGTGAAAATGGAATGGAGCAATCCTATGTATGCCATCCCGAGATCCTCACAGGAATGATGAAATACAATTTTTGTACGTAATTATTATTGTTGCTGTTCCTTCCAACAGGGATGGACCGTGGACGGGTGTAGTAAATTGAAATTATGTCAGAAGTAGTCAGGGACAGATCTAACTGTGTCCCCTAGAAAACAACAGTGGCTTCTCTATTAAATAAATCACATATGGTTAATCCTCTTGCGGCCACTATTTAATCACGGGCTATGCTGCTTTTTGACAGCAATGTTGCATCGCACTTCTACCAATCAAGCCAACACGTCCTCGCCAGTCAATAGATGTGTTGGCTTGCTCTTTTCTCGTGCTAATTCCTTTTTTTTTTTTAAAAATAAATTTTTATTAATTTTCCAAACATAAGATAAGAAAGCAAACAATACACAAAACACCGACATACAAACATATAAACATGTATAATTTCATAGCCATTTTTCATAAACCTTACTTTCCGGACTTCCCCATACCTCCCTTTTCTGCATCCTTGTTTTATATTTCTTCAGCAACTCCTCAATCAACTAATTATTCAGTTCAATTTCTTTTAAGTTCTTCTAATATTATTAATTACAGCTGCAGTTCTCTGTTTCCCAACCCCTTGACATTTTAACATTCCTGAATTTTGCAACAAGTTCTAAGATAAACTTTAAATTTCTTCCAATCTTCTTCCACTGTCTCTTTCCCCTGGTCACGGATTCTGCCAGTCAATTCGGCCAGTCCCATATAGTCGATCACCTTCGTCTGCCATTCTTCCAGTGTGGGTAGTTGTTGTGTCTTCCAATACTTTGCTAGAAGAATCCTTGCTGCTGTTGTCGCATACATAAAAACGTCCTGTCCTTCCTTCTCACCAATTGGCCGACAATGCCCAAGAGAAAAGCCTCTGGTTTTTTAGGGAAGGTCCATTTAAGAACCTTCTTAATTTCATTATAGATCATTTCCCAAAAAGCTTTTATCCTCGGGCAGGTCCACCAAAGGTGATAAAAAGTACCTTCAGTCTCATTACATTTCCAACATTTGTTATTGGGCAGATGATAAATTTTTGCAAGCTTGACTGGGGTCATGTACCACCTATACATCATTTTCATAATGTTTTCTCTTAAGGCATTACATGCCGTAAATTTAATACCGGTGGTCCACAACTGTTCCCAGTCAGCAAACATAATGTTATGACCGATATCTTGTGCCCATTTTATCATAGCTGATTTCACCGTTTCATCCTGTGTGTTCCATTTCAACAGCAGATTATACATTCTCGACAGATTCTTAGTATTGGGTTCTAACAGTTCTGTTTCCAATTTTGACCTCTCCATCTGGAAACCTATTTTCCTGTCCTGTTTAAATGTCTCGTTTATCTGAAGGTAGTGCAACCAATCTCGCACTTTGGACTTTAATTTCTCATAGCTCTGTAATTTAACTTTTTCCCCATCTTGTTCTAGAATTTCACAATATTTTGGCCATTTAGACTCCATATTAAGTTTTTTCACCTCTTTAGCTTCCATTGGTGACAACCACCTGGGAGTTTTACTTTCCAATAGATCTTTATACCGCATCCAAACATTGTATAATGCTTTCCTAACAATATGGTTTTTGAAACCTTTATGCTGTTTTACCTTATCATACCATATATATGCATGCCAACCAAATCTATTATCAAACCCTTCTAGATCCAAAATATCTGTATTCTCAAGAAGTAGCCACTGTTTCAACCAGCAGAAAGCCGCCGATTCATAGTAGAGTCTTAAGTCCGGCAGGGCAAACCCCCCTCTATCTTTAGCATCAGTTAGATTCTTAAATTTTATTCTGGGCTTTTTGCCCTGCCAGACAAATTTAGATATATCTTTCTGCCACTTCTTGAAACAGTCCATCTTGTCCAAAATCTGCAATGTCTGGAATAAAAACAACATTCTAGGCAATACATTCATCTTGATAACAGCAATTCGGCCTAACAAAGAAAGTTTCAACCTTGACCATATTTCTAGATCCTTCTTTACCTCTGTCCAACATTTATCATAATTGTCCTTAAATAAATTCACATTCTTAGATGTTAAGTTTACCCCCAGGTACTTTACTTTTTTCGTTATCACTAGTCCTGTTTCATTCTGAAACTTCTCTTTTTCGGCCAATGTTAAATTTTTATCCAACACTTTCGTTTTCTGTTTGTTCAGTTTAAATCCTGCTACTTGACCAAATATCTCAATTAGTTCTAATACTCTTTTAGTACTAGTATCTGGCTGTTGCAAGGTCAATACTAGGTCATCTGCAAATGCCCTTAACTTGTACTGTTTGGCTCCGACTTGTACTCCTTTAACCAACTGGTCTCCTCTAATCATATTTAACAAAACCTCCAGGACTAATATAAACAATAGAGGGGATATTGGGCACCCCTGTCGTGTACCTTTTTCTATAGGTATTTCTTCCGTTACCACATTGTTTACAATTAACTTTGCTTTTTGTTTAGAGTATATTGCACCTATACCATTTTCAAACCCTTGACCTACCCCCATCCCTTGGAGATTCTTCTTCATAAAACTCCAACCAATATTGTCAAAGGCTTTCTCCGCGTCCACAAAAATTAAAACAGCCTTCCTATTAATGTCCACTTCTAACAGTTCCAAAATGTCTATAATGTTCCTCACATTGTCCGACATATATCTCCCTGGAAGAAAGCCAGTTTGGTCTTTATGAATCCCCCTACCAACACTCTCTTCAGTCTTTTTGCCATAATGTCCGCAAAAATTTTGTAATCCACATTAAGTAATGATATAGGGCGGTAGTTTTTAACCTGGTTCTTTTCAGTCTCAGTTTTCGGTATAAGTGAGATAAATGCTTCTTTCCACGACTCTGGTGCCTTTTTCCCTCCAAAATTTCGTTACATACTTCCTTCAGTGGTTGTACTAACCATTCCTTCAACACTTTATAATATCTGGCGGTCAAACCATCTGGTCCTGGAGCTTTTCCCAATTGCATCTTCTGAATGGCACCCTCTATTTCTTGTCCTGTTATTTTCTCATTCAAAATCCTTCTGCTTTGCTCTGAAATTTTTGGTAATCCATGTTTCTTAACAAATTCTTCTATTTCCTGTTCATTAACTGGCCCTTGTGCATATAATTTCCTGAAATAACCTTGAAAACAATTACTTATCTCATTTGGTTTGTGGATAATCTTTCCGTCCACTTCTAAACTTGTCACAGTGTTCAATTTTTGCCTCTTTTTCAATTGCCATGACAGAAATTTCCCACATTTATCTGCTGATTCAAATGTCTTTTGTCTCATTTGCTTTATTTTCCATTCTATCTCTTGATTCATCAATTCCATATATTGCACCTGATAGTACTTTATTTCTTTCAGAATCTCATGGGACTTTGGTTTAGACCTCAATTTCTTTTCACCTTCTTTTATTTTTTCCAGAATTTTTCCTTTCCTTTCATTTTGATTTTTCCTTTTTATGGAGTTCTGTTGTATTAGGAAACCTCGCATCACGGCCTTACTTGCGTCCCAAATTATTCTTTTTTCCACTTCTGTTCTCAAATTTATCTCAAAATAATCTTTCACTGTTTTTTGGGCCTTCTTATAAATCTCTTCATCTCTGAATAGGGTGTCATTCATTCTCCATCTGAAGGATCCAGTTGTTGTTAGTTTCATCTCCATCTTTACAGCATCTCGTGCTAATTCCTTGGAGCGAAAGCAGCCTCCAATATTACCCTTCCTGAGATAGGTCATTGCGGAGGGGGCATTGCGATGGTGATGCAGAGCCTCAACATCAGAAAAAGATGCTTAATTTCATCTGGCATCTTATACCCCAAGCCAGCTTGGCTGGAAATTAGAAACCTGGCGCAGCAGCTGTCAGTACCAATGTTTATTGCAGAAATACCCTACACCTGGCGAATGCCAAGCTACAGTCTCAAACAAGAAGGAATTATCGCTTTGACAAAAGGGGAGAGGATGAAGTGCGACAACAGGAAGCCCATGTGACTTTTCCGCTGACAAATGGCTCGCGTCAAGCTCCTGGGAGATGGCAAATGTATTTATAGCACATTGAGTAGGCTTCTGTCGGGCATGGGTCTCTCTTAAAGCTGTTGGGCTGCTCTGTTCCAGCTGTTCACATTGACCAGATCTGGAGGGGTCAGACCAATGTCTCCGTGATCCTGTCCAATCCTGTATTTTGTCAGTGAAAGTGGCCTGTGCCAGATGCTAGTTTAGAGAAAGTATGGGGGTAATTACGACACTGTCTGCTCTGAACGTATGCCGGGGAGGACTCCTGTGTCATCCTGACAAACGACAACACCGGCACTTACCATCTTGCGAATGCTGAAGGGGTAGCCATGTTGGTCTGTCACAGGAAAAAGCAACCAAGGATCCTGCAGCAGCTTTAAACATTTAAACGCTCAGGGCTGTGTCAGTGTTTCCAATGAACATGTTGATCTGCCAGAGGACTGGGGGAAATTAAGAGTCAACCACATGTTTAGAAAGGCGTTCTTTGTATGTTTGCTAGCGAAGAGCTGTCTGTAGTAGTTTCACTGTGCAAAATAGGTTGGGGTGCTTGAAGTGGGTGATCTTCACATGAACCCCTGCCAGCCAAATTATTTGGGAAACATTTGCTACGATGAAAACAACAAATAATTCTGTCAGACAGCTTGCCTTTGAGGATTTAAATTGATCTAGCATCTTTCATAAATCCGTGGCTATTACGTTTTGTTGCTGACTTCCCACACTGATTGGGTTTAAATAAATTTGGCCCGAAAAGTCACACTGCCATTTAATCACTACGGCATGTTTTGGATCTACTCAAAAGACAACTATTGTGGCTTCTCATTTTTGATGCGATTCATATTTCTTGGAGCATCATCATAAAATACATTCCCACCCACACCCACTTTCTTATTGGGTGTGTTCATATCAACCTTCAGAAACATCTATTGTTGTGTATTCAGAATCCATCTGCTGATTAAGGCATTGCCTCTTTGATTTGTTGTTTCTGACAGGACATCTTATGCTGTGAGTACAAAATAATGTTCCTGGCATCGGTTGAGAATGGTGCCCTTGTGTTCACGGGCTTCCATTAGAGAAATACACAAAAATGGGGAATTGAGCAGTAATCACTGCTTGTTCTCTCTGTGGGTTCTTCACGACACATTCATGGCCCATTGGAAATGGATGTAATGTAAAGGGAAGATTGTCTCTAAAGTGCCACTGGAGAAAGGAGATTTACTTACTTCCTCCTTTTTTTCTTTATTTGATACCTTGCCCTTCTAAAGGAGGGCAGAGCAGCCAAAAAAGTGATAAAGCAATAAAAACATCTTTAAAGCATCTAAATGACATCTGAACAACAATTCCAGTACTGATGCAGATTGGGAAAGATGGTAACTTTAAAGTCTTGTTGAAAAAGGAAGGTGTTTGGTACATGCCAAAAAGACAATGGAGGTGGCACCTGTCTAAATATTCAAGGGAAAGGAATTCCAAAGGGCAGGTGCCGCAATACGAAAGGCCCAATTCTTATGTTGTGTGGAAAGGACATTCTGATAAGATGGCTTCCACAGGAGGCCCTCACCTATAGAGCACAGTGGTCAAATAGGTATATAAGGGGGGATAGGAAATTTCACGTATCCTAATACCAAGCACAGGGCCTTTATACACCAAAGCCAGCACCTTGAACTTAGACTGACAGCTCCTTGGCAAACATATGTGAAGTCTCACATTTGCTGTAGCAACAACGCGACTCCTAATATCCGAGGTAGCTACTTATGTCACAATTCGTAACTACTTAAGTGTTACCCAATGGTATAAAAAGGTAAAGGGACCCCTGACCATTAGGTCCTTCGTGACCGACTCTGGGGTTGCGCGCTCATCTCGCTCTATAGGCCGAGGGAGCCAGCGTTTGTCTGCAGACAGCTTCCGGGTCATGTGGCCAGCATGACTAAGCCGCTTCTGGCGAACCAGAGCAGCGCACAGAAATGCCGTTTACCTTCCTGCCAGAGCAGTACCTATTTATCTACTTGCACTTTGACGTGCTTTCGAACTGCTAGGTTGGCAGGAGCAGGAACTGAACAACGGGAGCTCACCCCGTCGTGGGGATTCGAACCGCCGACCTTCTGATCGGCAAGCCCTAGGCTCTGTGGTTTAACCCACAACGCCACCCGCGTCCCTATACCCAATGGTATAGTCAGTCTTTTATCTCCTTCAGCCAGTACAAAATGCTTCCTGTGAACAGAGAGTTGAGCTCATATTGGAATCCTATTCATGGGACCACATGCCTTCTCACATGTTTTCAACATCGCAATTCCAAAGCACATATTCAGGAATCTGCAATATGCCCACCTGTTTCTTTAATGAGGTAAGCAGTAATCCAGGACTACCATGACTGAGCCAAATGGACTGAGCCGATCCATCAGAACTACTCAGTCAACCTTGCCTTCCCTTGTTTTCCAGATCTCATTAGATGTCCAAAAAAAATTGCACATATCTCTTATGTACCAGTCTGTCTGTCTGTCTGTCTGTCTGTCTGTCTATCTATCTATCTATCTATCTAGGCACAGTGGATACTAGTGTCTAAGAAATATGGTTTATTTTACACATATTTACACCTGGAAGGCTTCAGTGGAGGGAGATGCAGAACATTACATCCCAAGAGCATCCCTTGTAGCTTCTCTCACAGCTTTCGCCAGCTCATGTCCAAAGCAGAAGCCAGTTATAACCCCTGGCTTATTGGTGCAGCCTCCTCTAGCAAGTGCCGCATAGAGTTCTTCCCACTTCCTGTCTTCTTCTCAAGAAGCCAAGCCACTCTTCCCCATCTGTCTGCTCGCCCCCACTTATCGCCCACTATCCCAAGCCTCACTTTTAAAAGGACGCTTTCCTGTTGCTGATTCATGCCTCCTGTAATCTTCCTCCTCCTAGCTCTGCTATTTAACCAGAGCTGGGGCAGAGGGTCAATGGCTGGTCACTGCCCCATAATTACACCTTGATGGCCCTCTCCCCCCACAGGCGATTTCCTGGTTTAGCCTGCATTTTAAATCTAACATCTGGCATCCAGGAATTTTAGGGGATCCTTCCCTCCCGCAAACCCATGAAAATATATATAATCAGCCTGCACTTGATCCAAAATTGTTACCTAATTTTACCAATTGAGAGCACATGCCCAAAACTAAAAAAAATACACATTTCATCTGCCTCAAGTCCATTTTTATTGCCTCCTTCATGTCTATCCATACAGAAATTTCAGCCATACATAACATCTTATGAATCTAGGTCAGGCTTCCATGAATTTGTTATTTTTCTTAACCAGACAAATCTGGAATAGTTGCTTTTCAAAAGCCATTCTTGTTTTAATTTCCTCATTAGGTCTTTAATCCAATATTAATATAATTCTCAGCTATTCCAATATATGAACCCCCCCCAATTGATTGTCATCAAACTTAATATATCGCTTGGGTACATAATTCATCCCTTGATGGCATTCCTTTGCTCATTAATGATTAGAATCCTGACATTTCTTAGGACGAACTTAAATCACAGATTCTCTCTGTCATCTTTGAATGATTTAACTCCTCTAGGACACACAGGTCCAGGACAGGGGGAGAAGAACACACTCCTTCAAACTATTCGGAATGAATTGATTTATTATATTTTATTAATTTATTAAATGTGTATACCACCCTTCATCCGAAAATCACAAGGCAGTTCACAACATAAAAGTAAAAAATGAAAACACCAAATACACAAAATACACAAGGAGACTTTCTGTGATAAGCAAAGGGCAAGGAAAATGCACTGTAAATTGTGCTTAATAAAACATTGGCTAACTGCCCAGCAAACAAATCAGAATGAATGCTCAGTAAACTGTGATGGCCCATTGAGAGCAGCAGGGAGGAAGGCAGGGAGACCCAACAACAGGTGGAGTCAGAGCCAATGATAGATGGAGCCAACTAATTCAAGTTTTGTCCCCATCCTCCTCCCTGCTGAGTGCTACAAGGGCAACACTGGGACTAAGGAGGAAGAATCTGACAGGCAATGTCACCGTTTGCTGGCCATCTCCCTGGCCTTCTGCCCTACCAGTGCCAATGAACACCAGCCACCACTGACAGCATCCTTGTGCAATCAGGTGGAGGAAAAACCACAATCAAATCACAGAGTCATCCTGGGTTGGTACAGTCTATATGCAACGTCCTTCACAACTTCGTACTTTCTTTAAAGATGGCAAATTCATGACCATTTACTATTATTATTATTTTATTATTATTCAGTGCCTTTTTCTGGTGGGATGCAGGGGTACACATACCCCTAAACATTTTGTGAATCTTTGTACTTTTGTCCATTTACTGTATTTATTTTCCCCAATTTGAACTATAAAATGGTGATTTTCTTGAGTCAAATGAGAGTACCCCTAAACATTTTTTTGGGGGGGGAGCACTGTTATTATTTATATACCACCCTATTCCCTTCAGGTCTCAGGGTGGTTCACAGAATAAAACCAGAATATAAAACTACAACATACATAAGCAAAATGAAAACAACAACAATCCAATAACCCACCCCAACACATTTTAAAAGGGCATAGGATGCAGGGCCGTCTTTATCCAGGGTGCAAGGGGTGCTGGGCACCCAGGCGCCAAATTATGGGGGGTGCGAAATGTATACTTACTGTATACCAGTCCCTCTCGATTGGCGGCAGTGAAAAGCACTGGAGCAAAAGTCCCCGCCCCTCCTCTGTCGCTCTGTTACTCCGTAGCATCAAATATTCCCGATGAGCCAGGAAACAAAAGCAGTTTTTTCCACTGCGTCATTGTTACAGGTGAGCATTTCCCCCCCCCAAAAAAAACTTTGAGTTCACTTCCCATAAAAAAAGGTCAACAACTTAACAACTTTGGCTTTCCCCTCCCAGGGGAAACTAAACTAAATTTGCATCCTGGTGGTGCATATGCTAAAGACGGCCCTGATAGAATGTCAATCAAATCAACCAAAGGCCTGGTTAAAAAGGAACGTTTTTGCCTGGCACCTAAATGTGTATAATGAAGGCACCAGGCGAACTTCCCTGGGGAGAGCATTCCACAGATGGGGAGCCACTGCAGAGAAGGCCTGTTCTTGTGTTGCGACCCTCCAGACCTCTTGAGGAGGAGGCACACGAAGAAGGGCCTCAGAAGATTATCTCAATGTACTTTATTGTACTGCTATGCATCCTTCCCCCAGGTTGCTCAGAGTTGCTTATATGGTGGTTTTATGAAAAATTGCTGAGCTGGGAGCACAGACAGTTTTTGCAGAGCCAAATCCTCAAAGCACTTGGTCACCCCAGTACTGGCCAGCAAAAACTGGGCATAGACATGCTATTGAAAACAATCAGCCTAAGCAACTCCCTGTGTTTGTTTCCTAACTGAAGTACCAGCAGGAGACCGGCCATGGCCTGTAACTTTAATTACTAATCGTTAATTTGTAGGTGGGCAGATTCAGCTCTCCAAGCATCTAATTTAATCATGCTTTCCTGACAGTGGCAATCAATTGTTTAGTAGCCTCCTTTATGCTTAATTACTGTTCCATTACATTATCAATTGTCAGACATCCTTTTTAAGGGGCGTAGGAGACAATAAATCATTTCTGCATGGTGCCTGTAGCAAGGCTGAATTCAAAGACTATTATTCGCTCACACCTGAACTTCTTTACACTGAGACGAGAAATTGATAATCGTTCAGGGAGGGAGGGAGGGAGCAGGTCTAAGCAAAGCACATCCAGTGCTTCAGAACAAGAGGGTGGTTTCTTCCCCAAGGCAGAGAGTCAAGCAATGGCTTTATAATGCAAAACCATGGTTTGTGCTAACCAAATAAAGCATCCTACACCGTGGTTTGAGCTTCCAGTCATAGAACAGGCAAACCTTGGTTCAGAGCTGCTATTTGCCTGATCTCATTCTCCATCTGCTCAGTGCTCAGCTTTGGCTGTCAGACGTTCACTCCTAGCTCCACACTACAGAAGCCTCTTGATACAGAAGGTCAGCCTGGACTGTGGTTTGTGTGAATTCAAATATAAAAAGATACAGTTGTGCGTCCAGTTTGTACTTTCACCCAAGATTTGTTGGGGTTTTTTAACTAGAGGGAGTGGCACACATTTAACAAACAAACAAACAAATGCCAACTTGTGTTGGTAAAAAGGTTGATGATATTGTGGAGTACAGTGTGATGAAATACAAAATAGGATAGTTCTGGGAACTGGGTCCAAGATGGAGTTAATACTCTTCCTCTTGAACATCAGTAACCACTGTCAAAATATAGAATTTTGGGCATGCAAGCGGGCATGCACACACACTTGCGCGCACATACAATCAAAGGAAACTGCTTTATACTGAGTCGGACGATTGGTCCATCCTGCCTAGTATTGTCTACAGGCTGCCCAGCCATGGTTATACAGGAATTTAGGCAGGAGCATTTGCCAGCCCTACCTGGAGACACTAGGGATTGAACCTGGGACCTTTTGGGTGCAAGGCAGTTGTTCTGCCACTGAGCTATGGTCCTACACACACACACACACACGGTTTCCTTTGTGACCTAAATATTGTAGGCGACTAGCGAATACCTGAACAGGCCAAAAACTTGGAGCAGATGGTTCTGAGGTTGTTGTTTGTTGGCAGCCTTGTACCTCATTGTTATCCATTTCCCAGAAACACCAACCCTTCAGTTAAGAGGCAATTGCCATTTTGCAGTTGAAGCTTTATTTTACAGAACCCCAACTTTATTCTGACACTTGCAATAAATTTATTCAGTTCAGTCACGCTGCCTGCCCCTGAAAAGCAGGCAAATCAGGAGACACAATTGCCAAGATCAAATAGAGGAAAATGGGTAAACATTGCAGGCTACTATTTTGCAGGCCATTTATGGTTTGCCTACAATAGGTTTGTTCATCTGTTTCAATATCTTATTGCTTCGGGCACACATTCCTTTTCTAAGCTGCCGTCATACAATTGAATTGAATGTGATTAGCTGCCGCAGATATTTGATTCCATTTTATTTCGGCCACAGATCCCAACCAACCTGAACAATGGCAATTGAAAGTCACAAAACAGATCAGGGCCTGATGCCAATTTGGATGCAGCCCTTTGTAAATCTAGACTGCAGGGCAAATCAAGTGTCCAGATGTTAAGATAATAGCAGCGGCAAGGCCTTGCCTCCGGTGCTCACAATGCCAGCATCCATTAAGACGACTAAGTAAGACACTGCTGGAAAAATGTTGTTCCCTTGGAACAATACGATTCCAGGTTTCCTTGCAGAATGAATCATTCATTTATTTCTTTCCCACAAGAACAGTTTCCCTCCCCCATTGGCACTATGCCATACCATTATCTCATTACATATTGTCGGCATCCGCCTGTCTCAAGAGACAATGAAGGGCACCACCGGGGGAGAAGCAAAACCTCTGGAGAGTCACGAAATTAAAAGATACCTGCTTCTTCAGAGAAAAGCAATGACAAACCTAGACAGCATCTTAAAAAGCAGAGAAATCACCTTGCCAACAAAGGTCCATATAGTAAAAGCTATGGTTTTCCCAGTAGTGATGTATGGAAGTGAGAGCTGGGCCATAAAGAAGGCCAGTCGCCGAAGAATTGATGCTTTTGAATTATGGTGCTGAGAGTCCCGTGGACTGCAAGAAGATCAAACCTATCCATTCTGAAGGAAATCAGCCCTGAGTACTCACTGGAAGGACAGATCCTGAAGCTGAGGCTCCAATACTTTGGCCACCTCATGAGAAGAGAAGACTCCCTGGAAAAGACCCTGATGTTGGGAAAGATGGAGGGCACAAGGAGAAGGGGACGACAGAGGACGAGATGGTTGGATAGTGTTCGCGAAGCTACCAGCATGAGTTTGACCAAACTGCGGGAGGCAGTGGAAGACAGGAGTGCCTGGCGTGCTCTGGTCCATGGGGTCACGAAGAGTCAGACACGACTAAACGACTAAACAACAACAACCACCACCACCACCACAACAACAACTGTTGTTTTGATGCATTAGCAGCACTGAAGCGACCTCTCTGGGATGCAAGCCTAGGCAGTGTGTATGGAGGTTCTGGGCTGTCCAGCCGACAAGATCCCCCTCTCGGCTTTACTGATGTGGTTCAAAGGAAAACCGAGTGATACATTTGGCACCAGCTTGGCTGCAGGACTTGCTGGAAGGAGACATACCAAGTGCCATCCAGCCATCTTGGGGACTCCACTTTGGATCTGTGAGCTGTTTCTTCTCCCAAAGATATCCTGCAAGGCAGAGAAGGTTTAGGGTCAGAATTTTTCTTCTTCTAGATAAGCTACCTTCCCAAGTTGAGGAGCCCCACCTGCCCCTCACTTCCCTCTACAACACGTGCAAAAACTGCCTTCTTGACCATTGGACCCACTATTGGTCTCCTCTGCTTAATCCGTCAGAGCCTTTCTTCGCATGCAGGGGAAGTCCCAAGGGATTGAGACATATCGGATACCCTCACCTGGTTTAGCTGGCCAATCAAAGGCATTTCCTGGGGTGTGGCCACTGTCTCATGCTGACAGCTTCTAGCAGCTACAGGTGGGAGCAGAGTGCAGAATAAGGACCAAAGGCAGGCAAGCTACCCTAGAAGAAGCAAAATGTGTCCCCCACCAGGTTCTAATCACCCATACACCCCTTCATTACATACACAAATATAAATATCGCCCTTCCTCTAAGGAATTTGGAGAAGTGTCCATAGTTCTTCTCAGCATTTTAAGCTCACAGATACAGAAAGTGGCTGACCCAAGGTCACCCAGTGAGCTTTGTTGCTGTGGGGGGATTTGAACTCAGGTCTCCCCAGCCCTAATCCAACATTTTAACCACTACACCACAGTGGACTCAAGTGCTAAAGACAGCAGATTTGTCATCCCTGTCCCATTCTGTTTGGTTATTACTTCACAGATTGGCTTCTGCCAGGGCCCCAACCTGGGAAGGGTCCTTCCACAACAGTAGGCTTGAGAAGGAAGAGATGGCTCTACTCCTTGATGCTTCCCATGTGAATCAGCTGGCACCCCTAAGAGTTCCAGCAACCAGATTCCAACAAGTAGATCACACACCCACCTTGGAGGATCAGAAAAAGGCTGGAGGAGTTTTAGCCAAATAAGCCCATGAAACTTAAAACTATGCTGCCTAGAAGAAGCCAACAGCTGGGGCAGGGCGGGCACCAACCCTTTAAATAGCCAGGTGGGTCTTTTGCTTTGACCACCTAGCCTGGAGGATAAAACTTATTGCAAGTTACTCCCAAGATCCACTTGAGATGACAACTTGTTTTTCTGCCTCACCTACTTGGTTGCTGACTGTGGTCCTGAATCAGCACCTAGGTTCTTGTACGAGGGCCTGGCCTTTGTATCTGCTGCAGAACCCTGGGCCTACCTTGCTTTCCTTGGTGGTGGATATCAGCATGGATCAGGACACTTCCAGTGTGGGAAGTTTCTGAAATTAATTCTGGAATTGGTGTGTGTTTTGCAGCTTTCAGTACCTTTCTTCTAGTCACATACTTCTCTCTCTCTCCTCTCTCTTCTCCCTCTTTTTTTCTCTCTTCTTTGTGTGTGATGCTGGCAATTTGGAAAGGAACTAGGGAAACAGACGATTATTATCCTAGTCACCTTTTCTGGAGAGTTTAAACTCAACAGGCCTGTTACAGCTCCAACTAAACACTAGAGGGCAATGCTCTCACATTACGAAAGGAATATTTATAAATGTTGAGTTACGCTCTTGTTGCTGTAACAGTAAGTGCCACATGTACACACACATGTGCATATGTTAGTGTGATCTAAACCAGAGGTGGAGAACTTCTAGCTACAGGCATGACTAGGGCTAGCAACAAGGCCATTTCCCCCAAATCCATGCTCACCAACCCCACATCCGATGCCCGCTTATCAAAACTAGTCCATGGAGGCTGGGCCACTCCTCTGTCTCGCTCTCAGGCTGAAAAATGGTTCCCCACCCCTGTTCTAAACAGACAGCATGATTGTGCTTTATATAGTTAATAAGAGTCCTGTGCTTGGAGAAGTGCAAGTAAAGGGAGCTCAGGAAGGGAAGGGTTTAGTGATACAGCACTTGCTTTGCACACACAGGGTCCCGGGTTCAATCCACAGCATCTTCAGGTAGGGCTGGGAATGGCCCCTGCTTGAAATGCAAAACAGCTCCTCCCAGTCAGTGTAGACAATAGAGGGATCAATGGTCTGACATCTCCCTATGTTCCTGCGTTCAAGTTTGAGTGAAGCATAAGAATCACCACCATACCGGATTAGACCAAAGGTCTGTCTGGTCCAGAACTTTGTCTCCAGTGGCACCAAAGTCATGTCTTCCAGGATATCCTCAGGTGTATTATATGCCTCTAGGGGAAAAGTTTATAATGCATTGGAGTAGAAGGTGGAAGTTCTGTCCTTAGATAATAGAGAGAACACCTCTGTGTAAGTGATATTTCTTCTTCTCTGGTGATCGCTCGTGGCCGTGTAAGATTGTTTCCCATGAACACAGTCTTAACGGTGTATCTGTAAGTGGAGGCCAGTTCTGGATCCACACGTCCTTCCACAGTGGGGACATAGGTTTGTGGGTGGGAAGTATCTATTCCCTTGGGGAATAGATATATCACTTACACAGTGAATAGATATATCACTATGTAAGTGATATTCTATTTCCCAAGGGAGTCTGTAGGTCAGGGGAAAATGACCAGGCAGTCTAAAGTCTTATACGTATGCATATTTTTTAATAAAAAGTGGTTATGCTAGTTGCCATCACAATTTGCTGCAGCAATGAATTCCAAAGTTATGCATTGCATGCTGGTGGTTCGCCACCTCTGCTCTAAATCTTTTCCAGCTGGTGTTCTCACTTAGGCAGTCTCATTCAATATGGAGCAAGGGAGCAATAATAATGATGTCTCTCCCTGATTTCCATGTGTGGATCTTGCCCGTATGTAAGGAGCTGTTTCCATGCAATTCAGAGCCCTGCCCCGGAAAGCACAAAGGGGAGAGAAGGTAAAGTCTGGGGTTTGGGGGCTGTGGGTCACAGTGGCCCTGTACAGGTCATTTTCTGTAGTAGCCCCTGAGTTGTGGAGTTCCCTACCCACAGAGGTGTGTCTGGCGTTTTCAGTTTCTGTTGTGTGTTGAAGGCACACCTCCTTACCCTGGTGTTTTACCTTAGGTATAGGTGTGTGTGTGTATGTGTGTATCCTAGAAATAGAATCATAGAGTTGGAAGGGATCTGGATTATCTAGTCCAGGCACCCCCAAATTTGGCCCTCCAGATGTTTTGGGACTCCAACTTCCATCATCCCTAGCTAACAGGACCAGTGGTCAGGGATGATGGGAACTGTAGTCCCAAATCATCTGGAGGGCTGAGTTTGGGGGTGCCTGATCTAGTCCAACCCCCAGCAACTGTCTCATACAGGGATTGAACCTGCAACCTTGGTGTTATCATGTTCTAACCAACCGAGATGATAGATAGATAGATGATAGATGATAGATAGTTAGATAGATAGATAGATAGATAGATAGATAGATAGATAG